CATATCGCGGCGATGAGTGCGGCGAACTTTTCGGCACTGTTCGGAGATGTTCCAGTCGAGGCCGTCGACGACTACACGATAAGCGCGCAGTTCAACAACTTCGTGTGCGCTGGGCCAGCAACTTCTTGAACCAAGAGGCATCGGGTGGATTGACCAGCATGGCCACATCCAAACGTGCCTTCGACGAAAACGGCAGAGAGTGGTTGAAAGACAACTTCATCGGTACCGGTCCGTTCCGCGTAGCCGACTTTAAGTCCGGGACTAGCGTCACACTTGAGAAAGCGGGCACCGCCCACTGGCGGAAGGATGCGGCGATCGACTCCTTCAAGGTATTGGCGGTTCCAGAAGAGTTCACTCGTGTTGCGTTGCTGCTGAACGGTGAAGCAGACATAGCGTTAATCGACCCGAAGGACTTGGCTCGCATGAAGGCATCTGGCTTCACACAGGTCGGCGCGGGTCAAGGAATCCAAGAAGGCGTGATGTTCCCGGGCAACCTGTGGGAGACCACGAAAGCACTGACAGGTGAGGCGATCGATTTCCCATCGCATGGCGTATTCGTACGGCCGATCGAATGGATCGGTAACCCTCACCAACCTGATGATGGCGACAACCCAGCCGGTATCGACGACATGGAACAAGCTCGGTTGGTCCGGCAGGCTTTGGCCCGGTCGGTAGATCGAGCGAGCGATTAGTAGACGACGGTCTCGGCGTGCTGTGTTAGGACATCCCGGTTCACGCATGGCAGTAATTCAGAAGTTCAACCCGAACTGGGAATCACAGTACGAATACCCGTACGACCCTGGTACAGCTAATGCGATGATCGACCAAGCCGGTTACCCTGCCAACGACGACGGTGTCCGATTTGAGATGCCTCTATTCGTTGGGCCGGAACTCGGCGGCGGCGAAGGGCCAGCGGGCGAGATCGGTGATGCAATCGCAGGTTTCTGGGAAGACGTTGGCATTCGTGTCAAAGTGCTCAAGTACGCATATGGCGTGTTCCGCCCCGGATTGGTCAGTCGCTCAACGGTGGTTCCGATGCTGACGTCTTGCGACGACGGAAAAGAATCGTATCCGTTCGACTGGCCTAAGGGTCTGGTGCAGACCACGTTGACACGCGGCGGATTCAGTTGCGGGTTCGAGTCTCCAGAGATCCTCGAGTGGTACGAAGCGACAGCATCGGAACCAGACCGTGGGGAACGTGTGCGCATCAACAAGGAGTACCTGCAGTACTGCCACATTGGGCGCACGTTCCCCGGTACAGCTAACGACGTTCCGCAGGCGCGTACTTCATCGAACCCGAATACACAAATCGCTTCTATGGCCACAGCATCGGGCGGCACAGCTACAACTCGCCCGAGAACCTCGTCCTGAAATAGAACAGTTCTTCGGAATCTGGTTAGCGCCTGAAAAACAGTTACTTTTCCCGTGTGCACAGCGGGACTCGAGCGATGTCGGCCCGCAGGGCGATCTTTGTCACCGGCGCAGTTTCGATTTTGAGAAGATAATGGACTGAACATGCGCCGTTACCTGATCAGGAAGCTAATCTTCGCGATAGTTACACTGCTCGCGGCGACGATGTTCGTATTCATACTTTCGAGGTTGGCCGGTGATCCGTTGCTACTGTTTGCGAAGCCCGGCGGCTACGGTATGTCGCCGGAGCGAGTCGAGCAGTTGAGTCAGAAACTGGGTTTGGACAAACCGCTCGTTCGTGCAGTACCTCGTGTGGCTGGGACGTGTGTTACGGGCGATTTTGGAGAGACGATTGTATCGGAGACGTCGGTCCGTAAATTGATCTGGGAACGGGTGGCACCGACGATGCAGCTGGCTGCCGCTTCATTCGTTCTGGCGATTTTGATGGGAGTGCCGTTAGGTGTGGTCTCTGCGGTCAAACGAGGATCGATGTCAGATTACGTCAGTCGTACGATCGCATTGGTCGGTCAGGCAGCGCCGATATTTTGGGTCTGTATCATGGCGATCTTGCTGTTTGCGGTGACACTCGATTGGTTGCCCGTCGGTACCGCAGGTCCAGACAATGTTCCGTTCTGGACTTGGGCAAAGTTCAAGTATTTGGTAATGCCGGCTTTTGCGCTCGGCTGGGGACCCGCAGCGGCGTTGTTGAGGTTGACGCGATCAGCGATGCTTGAAGTATTGGACTCGGAGTACGTAACGCTAGCTAGAGCGAAGGGCACCAACTACAACATTGTCATCTGGAAACACGCGTTTCGTAACGCAATCCTCCAACCGTTGACGACTTCGGCGATCGTTTTGGCCAGCTTCGTGACCGGCGCGGTAGTGTGAGCGGATATTTGCGTGGCCGGGTGTGGGGCAATTGATGACTGACGCGGTGTGGAACAACGATTTCCTACTTTGACAAGCACCGTTTTGGTGTTCACAGCCATTTTCGTTGCGACGAACTTTTTGGCCGATATGCTGTATGGGGTTTTGAACCCGGTGATCAGGTACGACTAGATGGACGTCGAGCAAACGGTTGGCGTTGCCGTACAGTCTGCGCCTACGCAACAACGACGGTTGACGTTGTGGTACATCCTTCGGCGGTGGCCGATCCTGCCCGTGATCCTGCTCGCACTGTTGGTGACGTTGGGTCTAGGTGCGGACTTAATCGCACCGAACGATCCGATCGACCAGTCGCTAAAGGATCGCAACTCCCGACCGTTGTTCCAAGACGGTAGTCCGTACTTTTTCGGCGGCGACCACGTTGGCCGAGACGTGTTGAGTCGAGTGATACACGGCGCGCGGGTTTCACTTTCTGTGATGGCCGTCGCGCTCACCACGGGAATGTTGATCGGCACGAGTCTGGGTCTGCTCGCCGGTTACGCAGGAGGCTTTGTGGACGAAGTCATCACGCGGATCGTGGATATATGGATGGGGTTCCCCTTCTTGTTGCTGGCGCTGGTAGCAGCGATCATTTTCGGGGCGAGTTACCAGACCATCATGGTTTTGATGATCTTGGTCGCTTGGGTTTCGTTCGTCCGCAACGTCAGAGCTGATGTATTGGTGCTTAAAGAGAGTAATTTCGTGGCTTTTGCGAGGATTTCTGGAGCGTCTACAACACGAATCTTGGCGCGCCACATTCTTCCCGGCACAATCGGAACGATTACAGTGATCGCATCGTTGAGCGTCGGCAATCTCATCCTGTACGAAGCGACGTTGAGTTTCTTGGGAGCAGGCATCCCCTCACCGACACCCTCTTGGGGGAACATGGTCGCCGAGGGACGAGACTATCTTCAAACGGCCTGGTGGACTTCGGTGATTCCGGGCACCGCCCTATTCCTGACCGTAATGTCGCTTAATTTCTTCGGCGACTGGCTTAGGGATCGGTTGGATCCGCGGCTGCGGCAGCTGGGGTAGATTCCCGATCCGTCGGCTCAAACGCCTTCAAGCGCGAGTTCTTCGGCGCGATGGCAACTCACCAGACGGGATGAATCGCGTGACGGCAAATGTCTTCGATTCCTTGGCATGGTGGTGTTCCGTTGTTACGTTAAAATCTGTTTCGACGTGCACGATTGGCAATAGAAACGACCGACCTTCTGGATTACGTGCGTCTACTTCCCCGCAATGCGAATGAATCATTCTCGGTGAATCCCTACGAGGTTCTCGGCATCTCCCCTAACGCCTCAACCGCCGAAATTCAGACCGCCTACCGCCAACACGCGCTTCGTTGGCATCCTGATCGAAACCCTAACGACGACTATGCGATGCGCATGATGCAACGCGTCAATGCGGCATGGGACATCTTGAAGGATGAACATGGCCGCGCTGGCGTACGACCGATGGGAGCGAGGAGGAGCAAATACTGCTAGCGGCCCTGACGCTTGGGGACAACCGTCGCCCGGACCTCCGCCCGGCAGCGAATGGTACAGGCCGCCACCACCTCCGCCATCTACTACGGCTTGCCCTCGTTGCCAAAGCTTCAACGAACCCGGTTCGATCTACTGCTACTCGTGCGGACTTCCTTTTGATGAAGCGCGGCAACAACAAAGTTCGCCGACTGACGATTATGCACCTCAGTACGATGCGAGCAACAATTCCAAGACTGGACAACTTGCCGGATTCTGGATCCGACTTGTCGCTTCATTGATCGATGTCGGCGCCATAATCGTGATCGCGTTGTTCGTTGCGTCAGTTCTCGAAATCCCCATCAGTGAATGGTCTGCTCCAGACGGCTGGAATTTTGCTGCGATTCTCTCGATTGCCTGGTTGCTGGGAATCGTCTATTTCACCGTATTGATCGCCGCATGGTCGACGACACTCGGTAAGCAGATATTTGGACTGCGGGTAGTACGGACTGATGGTTCGAAGATCGGCATTTGTAGAGCATTTGCTAGAGTATTATGCTTCTCCTTTACTTTCTCGCCCATCCTCCTCGGCATCAGTTCCCTGATGATCGCCTTCCGGCAAGATAAACGCGACTCGCATGACTTGATCTGCGGCACTGAAGTCGTGTATCGCTAGGTCGGTAACGCCGTGGATTGGCTGATTTTCCTTCATGGCGTTTGCGCCGCGGTGCCTTAGGTCAAAACGACGTGCCGACTATAAGCTGGAGACGTTGCACCGTCTAACGGATAAACTAATCCATCGCGCACAATCGAAACACGATCGTTTTTCTCCGAACGACCTGCGATTACTTGGAATGAACGGAATAATCAAATGTCAGCGATTCACCCATAGGAGATGATCTTGTCAAAATTAAGTCTGGTGGTCGTGTCCATCGCGTTGGTTGTCTTGCTGGCGTGTTCTGCGCCAGAGCCCACCCCACCTCTACGCCAGTTCCTACACCAACTCCGAGACCCGCGCCCACTCCCGAACCTGTCGTAGTGTGCGTCGCAGAGGTAGTCGACTACGTGACGGACATGGCAGAAGAAGTGGAGACGGTGATCGAGGCGGGCACGGAACTAGATGAGTTCCTTGAGGACCCTTCTGATGATTTGGTATGGCGGGCGAAGGTGGCCAAGGAACTGTTGGACATGGGCGGTGCTGTCACCACCATAGCCACCACCGCTCAACCTGAACCGTTCCCTACCGTCTATGAAGAGATCAACAACGTCGCCACCGAGTTCCAGCGCGTTCTCGAATCCGCTGACTTATCATCCGGCGAAGTCGCGGACATCGCGCTAGAGGAGGCTATAGAGACGCTCAGGCAGGCGGTCAACGACGCGGTCAAGAGCCATGACCTCATTGTCGAGTGGCTGAGCGGCTGCAGCAACTGACCTGTTGAGTAGCCAATGCCGAACGGTTAATCGATCCGATGCGGAATATTGCACGGAGTGGGGGGATAGGTTGGTGTTTGGGGATGCGTGAGACTTTTGCAAAATCTCGCCCTTGGGATCAAGGTGTCATTTGGAGCGCAACGAGGGATCTGATCATGTTGTCCAATGCTGGCGCGAGAGATTCTTCACTGCGCTTCGCTCCGTTCAGAATGACAGGGTGGCGCTATGTTCGGGACGGTGCTGGCGTTCCGGCGGGGGCATCCCCTGCGTTCGCTTCGCTCCGCGTCCCCCCTTACGCTGCGCGAAGGGGACGGGGCCTCCCCCTAGCCCCCTCCTGAAGATTAGACCGCCTTCTAGGTTAGTTCTTCGGCCCGGTGGCAGCTTACTAGGCGAGATGTATCGAATTCGCGCAGTTGGGGTTTTTCGACTGCGCACTGTTCGGTGGCGAAGGGGCAACGGGGGTGGAAGTGGCAGCCGGTGGTGGGGTTGGCGGGGTTGGCGGGTTCGCCGCCTAGGACTACTCTTTGGCGTCGGGCTTCGATGCGTGGATCGGGACGGGATGCCGGATATTAGGGCGTATGTGTAGGGGTGCAGGGGTTTACTGTAGAGATCGGCGCTGGTTGCGACTTCGACGATTCGTCAAGGTACATGACGGCGACGCGGTCGCTGATGTGGCGGACTACGGAGAGGTCGTGGGCGACGAATAGGTAGGTGAGTCCGAGTTCGGATTGGAGGTTGGCGAGGAGGGAGAGGATCTGGGCCTGGATGGAGACATCGAGGGCAGAGACTGGTCCGTCGCAGATTATGAAATCGGGTTCGACGGCTAGGGCTCTCGCGATGCCGATCCGCTGGCGTTGTCCGCCGCTAAATTCGTGGGGGAAACGTCTCGCCATTACGGGGTTGAGGCCGACCATTTCGAGAAGTTCGGCTACTCGGCGGTTGTACTCGGCGCGGCTGGATGCTAGGTTGTGAATTGCGATGCCCTCGCCGATGATGGCACCGGCGGACATGCGGGGGTCGAGGGAGCTATAAGGGTCTTGGAAGATGATCTGCATGCGGCGCCGGAGCGTGCGAAGGTCGCGGTTTTTCATGGTGTTGATTGGTTGACCCTCGAAAAGGACGGTGCCGCTCGTCGCCTTTTGCAGATGCAGGATCGTGCGTCCCAACGTGGTTTTGCCGCTGCCGCTCTCGCCGACCAAGCCGAGGCTCTCGCCTTTGTGGATGCTCAACGAGACGTTGTCGACGGCGTGCAGGATGGCGCGGTTGCGAGAGAAGAGGGTACCGGAACTGACAGGGAACTCGACGCTGAGGTTTTCGACGTCGATCAGGACCGACGAATTGGAATTGCGGTTCGTACTGGCGGTCATGGCTTGGTCGGCGTGATCAGACATGAGCGGGTTGTTCGGCGTGGTTGCTGTAGATTTCGTCGGCAACCCAACATGTAGCGGTGTGGCGTGTCTCGACTTGGACGGTCCGCGGATATTCGCTCATGCAACGGTCAAATGCGTTGCGGCATCTTTCGGCGAAATGGCAGCCGATGGGCAGTCGCGCGAGGTCCGGCGGATGGCCCGGGATGGGTTCGAGACTTGAACGTGTGTCGCGATCGATGCGGGGGATCGAGTTTAGGAGACCGACAGTGTAAGGGTGAGATGGCTTCTCGAAGATGTCGGTTGATGCACCGTGCTCGATGATGCGGCCCGCGTACATGATGTTGATGCGTTCGACGTAGCGGGCGACGACGCCGAGGTTGTGGGTGATGAGGAGCAGGGCCATGTTGCGGTCGCGGGTCAGGGTCTGCATTAAGTCGAGGATCTGCGCTTGGATGGTGACATCGAGCGATGTTGTGGGTTCGTCGGCGATGATGAGATCGGGTTCGCAGCTTAATGCGATGGCGATCATGACGCGTTGTCTCATGCCGCCGGAGAATTCGTGGGGGACTGCGCCAAACGGCGTTCGGGGTCGGAGATGCCGACGGTTTCGAGAAGTTCCAGCGCGCGGTCTTTGGCTTGGCGGTTGGTCAGGCTGAGTTGCGTGATCATGCCTTCGGTCAGCTGAGTTTCGATGTTGATAACAGGGTTGAGCGAAGACATGGGCTCTTGGAAGACCATGGCGATGCGTCGGCTGCGGTATCTCCGCATCTCGGAGGGCTGAAGCTGGAGGAGGTCGGTCCCCCGGAACCGGACTTCACCATCAATGATTCGGCCTGGCGGAGAAGGAATCAACCCAAGGATGCTTAGCGAACTGACTGATTTACCGCATCCGCTCTCCCCGACGAGTGCGACGGTCTCCCCTTCCTCGATGTCGTAAGTGATTCCGTCGACCGCCTTCACTACGGAATCGTCGCCGTAGAAGTAGGTTTTGAGGTTATCGACTTCAAGGAGGGGCATTGTGTGTTAGCCGCGGGTTGTTCCCCATCTGCCTTCGGATGCGATGTACACGAGTCGGCCGAGGGTAGTCGGCAGAGGAACGGGTTCGTAGTCCTCGGTTTCGGTGGCCCACTCCATGAGGAGGCCGCGCATCTCGGATATGACGGGGACGTTTGCGGGATCGGTCGCGACGTTTGTGAGTTCCCACGGATCGGCGTTGAGGTCGTAGAGTTCGTCCAAGTCGTCGCTTCCTGGATCGGTCACGAATTTCCAGTCCTTTGTGCGGACCATGCGGCGGCGGCCTTCGGCTTCTCGGATCCAGAGAGTTTCCATCAGGAGCGCGCGGCCTTGATTGCCGTTGTCCATCAGACCGTGGATGTGTTCATCGGTCAGTGCGGTGCCACCGGTGCCGTATTCGCTGAAGGTGGCGGAGCGTGGAGGTGAATCGGTCGCGGTGGGCAGAGGTCGGCCTTGGATGCGGCGGAAGGTCTCGGACGTGATCCAATCCGAACCGACATCGCAATTTAATCGAGGTCTGGGAGGTGCGAGTTCGTCACCGACTTCGCTGGGTGGGTTCGCGTTGAAGTCTGCGACGCCGGACAGTTGAAGGATGGTTGGTAGAAGATCGATTGTGTTGGCCATCGAGTCGTCGACGGCGCCGCATGGTACACCGCCGGCGGGCCATGAGACGAGCATCGGGACGCGAGTGAGACAGTCGTAGAAAACGCCGCCCTTGCCCAGCATGTCGTGCTCGCCATTGAAGTCGCCATGGTCGGCGGTGAAAGACGACGATGGTGTTTTCGCGCAGGCCGGTTTCGTCGAGATGGTCTAGGACTTCGCCGACCGCGTCGTCGACGAATCGCGTCATCGCCAAGTAGACGGCCATTGCATTGCGGACGTGTTCTGGGTCGTCTACGCTGACGCCGAGCATGTCGTGGAGCTGGCGATTGCGGGTCGGGATGGTGCCGTCGGTGTACTCGTCGGCGCGTTGAGGAGGCATGACAACGCTTTCGGGTGGAACCATGTCGGCGTATTTGCGAGGCGCTTCGAGCGGATGGTGCGGATCGGGGTATGAGAGCAGCAACGCGAATGGTTTGCGGTTGGCGTCGTCGGTCGAGCTGCCAAAACGGTCGATGAATGCTTTGGTTTGGGTTGTGAGTGCGGCGCTGGAGTAGCCTTCGATGGGGTGATCGGTGACCGCGTAGCCGAAACTTCGGCTCTGTTCTGGCATATTGCTCCGGGTCGAGTGGGCCTCGGTGATGATGTCTTCGGGGACGACCCACTCCATACCTTTGTTCCCGGCGATTTCGCCTTTGTAGTTGTTCTGGACAATCCTCCGTGCGACATCTCGCAGCGGACGTCTAGGAGGTCGAGGTCGTCTTGCTCGATGAAGCAGTGGTTTTTGCCGATGAGTCCGGTGGTGTATCCGAGTTCTTTCCAGATGCGGAAGGCGTGGAGTTGACCGGATGGCATGAGGGTTTCGTTGCGGCGGGCACCGGTTGAGTGGGCGTAGCGGCTGGTCATCATCGAGACGCGTGCGGGGACGCAGAGGGCGTGAGGTGTGACGGCGTGGCGATACATGACGCCTTCGCTGGCCATTCGTTCAAGGGATGGCGTGGGAATACCGATCTCGGAGTACATCTGGAGCGCCGTTGCTTTTAGTTGGTCGGCGACGATGAAGATGACGTTGGGTAAAGAGTTATCGGTGTTGGCGTTTTGTGTCATTGGTGATTGTCCTATTTCAGCCTCTCCCGCGCAGATGCGGGTCCAAAATGTCTCGCATGGAATCGCCAACTAAGTTGATGGCGAAGACGACGATTGCGATGGTCAAACCTGGGATTATCGCGATATGCGCCCCGAAGCGGAAATATTGCTGGGAAAACGTGAGCATGTTGCCCCAACTCGGCGTGGGTGGTTGAACGCCGAGACCGAGGAAGCTTAGGCCAGCTTCGGCGGTAATGGCGGCGCCGACGCCGACGGTGAAGAGCACCAATGAAACGGCCATCGAGTTCGGTAAGAGATGCCGGAATATGATGCGCAGATCGGTTGCGCCCAACGCTCGCGCGGCTTGGACGTATTCGAGTTGTGACTGCGTAGCGCGTGGGAGCGCACGACTCTTGAAGAACCGCCTACCACGTTGAGTGAAAGTGCGATGACGACGGCCCAAACCGAGAATCCGAGCGCTAACGTCACGGCCATTGCTAGGACCAATCCGGGCAGTGAGATTAGAACGTCGACGACGCGTTGAGCTAGCAGGTCGACGATGCCGCCGCGGTATGCGCTGACGATTCCGATGATGGTTCCGAGCGTTACACCCAATAGCGGGTGCGGCGAGACCGATTACGAAGGATGTTCTGCCGGCGTGTTGCAAGCGTGTCAGGATGTCGCGGCCGAGTTCGTCGCCCCCCAGCACCAACAACTCGTCATCGAAACCGCGCGACATCATGGGCGCCGCTTTGCCGCTTAACGTGCGGTCGTATTTGTGGGGCGTCAAGAAACCGGCACTGATGATGAACAGCAATATGAGGATCAGCATCGCCAAACCCACAGCGCCGGTAGGATGCCTGCGAATAATGCGCCAAGCGGGGGTACCGAACCGGTTGGTTCGGGTTGGTGCGATTTCCGAACTGTTTCTTGCCGTAATCATTCGAATCGAATTCGTTTGTCTAAGGCCACGTATACCAAGTCGATGAGCAGCATCCAAACCATTACGAACGCGCCGAGTACGAGGACGAGGCCTTGTAACAACTGGAAGTCGCGCTCGGAGGTTGCGGTAACGATCTCGACGCCCATTCCGGGTAGCGCGAAGATTCGTTCGAGTACTACTGCCCCATTCAACAGGCCGGCGAAGAGCAACGCGGAGAGCGTGATAATGGGGAGCACGGCGTTTGGCAGCGCATGTCGGATGATGACGCGGTTTGGGAACAGCCCCTTGGCGCGTGCGGTTCTGATGTAATCCTGATTGAGGACTTCCAACATTGTGGATCTTGTGAGTCGGGTTGCGACCGCTGCGAACGATGTGCCGATTGCTACGGCCGGGAGTATTAGCCTTTGGAGTTGGGCTACAGGCGCATCCAAAAAGGTCTCATTGAAAATCGGCGGACTCCAGCTGAACCACGTCACCAACGCGAGGAGTAGCAAGATGCCTAGCCAAAAGTTGGGTAAGGCTAGGAATAAAGCGGAGAACGTCCTGATCATCTGATCCGGCCATCTACCGCGCATCATTGCTGACAGAATTCCGAAGGGTATCGCCATCGCGGCCCCGATGAAGACGGACAGTATCGCCAACAGGAACGTCACCTCTGCGGTTTCGGCGACGACTGTAGCTACAGATTGGTCGCTCACATCGGATCGTCCGAGGTCGCCCTGCAAGAGTTGCAGCATAAATCGGGCGTATTGGACCGGCATCGGGTCGTCGAGGCCTAGACGATCGCGTATCACCGCAACGGTCTCGTAGTCGACGACGCTGCCGTCTACGGAGACTAACCCCAGCGCCACGTCGCCTGGCAACACCCTTGCCAGGAAAAAGGTGAGCGTTGCCAAGATGAACAGGTTCGGGATTAGCAACAGGACCCTTCTGATGATGTAGTCCCTCACTAATCAATCCTCGTTCAGACGGTATGACTCCGAATTGTTCATCTCGGCTTTAGGATCGTGCAACGAGCGATGTTTTGATTGCGTCGTTGCTGTGTCGTTGTTTTACTTTCGGGGCGAATTTTCGTCGATCCAGACGTCAGTCCACGTGTGGAGATTGAACCATTGGCCGAGCGCGCCGGGTCGGTCTTGCACGTGGTTTGCGACGAGTTCACTGGAGCCGACTTGCTTGCCCATAGGCACGACTGGAATCCAGTCTTCGCGCAACACTTTTTGGATCTCCCGCGTTGCGGCTTGTGCGTCGACAGGATCGGTTGCGCCTTGCAACTCGGATAACAGTTCGTAGATCACGTCGGGTGGTTCCGCGGCGTTCGCTTCTCGACCACCTGGCAGGTATTGCTCGAGGAGGAAAGCGCTCACGCTGGGGAGCACTATGTTAGGAGTACTCATCGTCATCATGAAGTCACCGCTTTCGACGCGTTCGGCGTTCGCAGCCGAGTCGCCTACTGAAAGCGTGACCTCCCAACCGGCATCAGCGTACACCTGTGCCGCGAGTTGTGCTAACTCTTGGAAGAACGACCTCGAGTTGACAATCATTTCGAAACCGTCAATACCAAGCTCATCGGCTAGAGCTTTGCCCTCGGCTAGGGCTTCTTCTCTGGTGTCTTTGCTGACTTCCCAAATGTCGGGTATCTCGTCGATAAACGGGTCGATGGTACCGAAGAATCCTGTCGGGATGGATGCGAATTCGCCAGTCGGCAAACTCTCGAGTTGCTGCATCCGCAAGCGGTCGAACAACAGGTATGCAGCCCTGCGCGCCTTCAAATCGTTGAACGGGGGTCCGTTGGCGTTCATGCTCATGTAGTTGATGCCGGCGAGAGGAGAAATCTCCATGCGGACGGCGTCACCTATCGAATTAAGTGCACCGACGGCCGGTGCGAACTCGGCAGGGTCGAAGCTGGCGATGTCAATGCGACCGGTTTGAATCGCGGCGATTCGCGCTTCAACGTCAGACAATGCGACGGTCGTCATCTCGTCGAGGTACGGGAAGGGATCGCCGTCAGGGGCCATGAGGAAGTAGTCTGGATTTCGCCTTGAAGTGACGAACTCTGCCATTTCGGCCTCGTCGATGATGAATGGGCCGGTACCGACTACGCGATCAGCGCCGTTCATCCCGCCTTCTTGCTCCATTACATGTTGGGCAAAAACGATGCCCCAAGCGGCCGCGAAGTTCTGAATGAACTCAGCGTTCGGGTTTTCGAACGCGATGGTGATGTTGTTGTCGTCGACGATCGTGATGTCGGTGATGCTCTGCAGAGCCAACAAGCGCGGGTAGCGTTCTCCTTCCGGAGGAGACTTGGATCGATCAAATGTCCACTTTATGTCCTCAAGAGACAGGTCTTGCCCATCGTGAAACTTCACACCGTCTCTGATCGTGAACGAGACACTTTTGGCATCGTCGCCGATGCTCCACTCAGACGCCAGGTCCGGGATGATTGTCGTCCCGTCGGACGGATCGAACCTGACGAGGTTGCTGTAGTGTCGTTGCAGGCTTTGTGGAGCGAACCATACGGCTTCGGTGTTGTAGTCCCAAGCACGCAGAGTTACCGAAACTCCACGGATCAGCGAACCACCGCGTTTTCCGTCGGCAGACGGAGCCATCGCGGCTGTTGGTTCTGGTGCGGCGGTTGGAGCAGGCGGCTGGGTTGCCGTCGGTTGCACCGGTACTGGCGTTGCTGTTGGATCTTCGCCGCCGCAACTTACGATGACCGCGAATGCGACGCTGCATAACGAGAGCAGCACTGAGGCCGTTGAGATACGAGTTAGCGATGTTCTTTTCATCGAACCAATCCTCCAATGGTGGAAACGCTTCAGGTTGCATCAGCGCCGATTGACCGAACCGTGTTGGTCAAGCAGATTTCTACTTTGAATGCAGTGATTCTGGTTGACCGTTGGGCAGTGCATCCAGTATACGCGGTTTGACATTTGTCGTGATTAATGTATTTTTCTGCTTGCGTCTGCGCGTTTGTGTGGATCGGATCGTTTCGTTCTTGATCGAGATGTTGCCGCGACAGAACCGCGCTGATTTTTTGTGTTCGGGCTGTACAAGTTGCGGTCCGACCGATATGTCGAAAACCAACAACTTAGAGGTGTCAGATATGAAAAACACCAGGTTACCACGGTTGCTCACCGCGCCATCAATGATCGCTTTGTCAGCGGTCGTATTGACGATGGCATTTGCGGCGAGCATCGCTTGTGGCGGCGGCGAGACAATCGTCGTTCATACCGTCGAAGTTCCGGTCGAAGTTCAGGGCCAGACCGTCGTCCAGACCGTCGTCGTCGAAAAAGAGGTCGTGAAAGAGGTCGAGGTGATGGTAATACCAACACCCGAACCGGTTCGGGTCGAGTCGCCGCACATCACGGCTGACCCTGACGTAAACGAGTGGCCAACCATTTATGACGGCAGTGGCAACTTATTCTCGATACCAACCTCTTTCCAAGAAGCCCCGTTGCTCGCAGCTCGCGTAGCGGCTGGCGAACTTCCTCCGGTGGAAGAGCGCTTGCCTGAGAACCCGTTGGTTCTTCAGCCCACAAGCGGCATCGGCAAGTACGGCGGAACCTGGTTCCGCGGCTTCACCGGCCCTGCCGACGGTCAAAACATGGAGCGTCCGCTCAAGGACCACCTCCTGTTCTATGAAGTTTCTGGTTTGACGGTTCAACCGAACATTGCTGAGTCTTGGACGCAGAACGAAGACGCAACTGAGTTCACTTTCACGCTTCGCAAGGGCCACAAGTGGTCTGACGGTGCGCCGTTCACCACGGCCGACATCATGTTCTGGGTCGACCACATGCTCCACAACGAAGAGTTGAACCCGGCGAAACCGGCGTGGTCGCAAAAAGGCGGCGAGACGCTACAGTTCGAAGCTATCGACGAGCAGACCTTCAAGGTCACTTCACCTGAGCCGTACGCTCCCTTCGTGACTTTGGTGGCATCGGTCATCGTAGCCGGTCAGCACACTCGTGGTGACGGCGGTGACGGTCTCTACGCTCCGAGGCACTACCTAGAGCAGTTCCACCCCGATTTCGTGGGTCTGGAAGAAGCTGAGCGCAAGGCTTCGGAAGCTGGTTTTGACAACTGGTACACGTACTTCCTTGACCGCAACCACGCGAATGCCAACCCGGATGCTCCAATGCTTACAGCTTGGCGCGTCACCGGTAGCATCAACACGAACGAGTGGTCGTTCGAGCGCAACCCGTACTACTACGCAGTCGACATCGAGGGCAACCAGCTCCCGTACATCGACAAAGTCGTTCTTACCCTTGCTCAGAACCTTGAGGTCCTGAACCTCAGTGCGCTGGCGGGTAACTACACGGTTATGGGTCGCCACATCAACATCGCCAAGCTGCCGCTGTTCCTCGAGAACGCAGAATCTGTTGGCTACCGCATCCAATTCTGGCGCCAGCCGCAGTCGGGTATCGCGAACATCTACGTGAACGAGACCTGGGATGGCAACGCTGAGATTCAGAGCTACATCCAGAACGTTGAGTTCCGCCGGGCACTCTCCATGGGTATCGAACGCGACCAAATCAACGAGGTCTTCTTCCTCGGGATCGGCGCGACTTCAGGTCTGTGTCAGGGCTACGATGACCCCGATAACCCGGGTAAGTACATCGGCGAGGACGACGTTCAATTCAACCCGGACGCGGCCAATGCGATCCTGGACGAGATTGGGCTTAGTTCCAAAGACGGCGACGGCATGCGCCAGCTGCCGAACGGCGAGCGATTGACGGTTCAATTGCCGTCGGTGGTGGCAGCATTCGAAGACTACCCGGCGATTAACGAGATGATCGCTCGGCAGTGGGCAGTCAACCTCGGCGTCCACGCCGAAGTTCAGTCCCTCGAGCGAGGCCTGCACGGCGACCGCGGGTTGCTGAACGAGTTGATGACAACCAACTGGGAGTCGTCACCGCGATCGACTACGCTGATCACGCCGCAACACCTGCTTCCGGTAGGAGGCGGTGGCAACACTGGTCGCCTCTACGGTGACTGGCACCAATCCGCCGGCGAGAACGGTACCGATCCGGCCGGCATCAACGACTTGATCAAAGAGCAGATGGATCTCTACGACGAGTCGCAATCGACCGCTGGTCCGGCACGCTCTGCGGAGATCCTCCAGCGAGTAGTCGAGCTCAACTGCTTGAACGTCAACCCGATCACGACGGTGATGAACAAGCCGACGTACGTTGCGATCATCAAGAACAACGTTCGTAACATCCCGAACGCGTTGCCGTTCTCATACCACAACCAGACCTCAGGAAACGCATTCCCTGAGCAGTGGTGGATCGACGACGACGACGCGATGATGGGCCAGTAGTTCGCGCTGCTGTCCGCAGAAACCTGTCGAACAGGTTCGACGCAATTAGACATCCGCCCCCGATTTGATTGGGGGCGGATGCTGCTACGTCTACAGAATTCCATTCACTGGGAGTGAATGAACACCTGACGAACGAATATGCTCGCCTTCTTTCTAAGAAGAATCATTTATGCGATCATCGCCATGTGGGCGGTGTCGGTCATTTCGTTCGTAATTATTAACCTCCCCGCAGGCGACTTTGTCACGACGTACATTGCGACACAGCTCGCGACGGGAAACCTCGTGTTGGAGGACGAAGCTGAGAGTCTGCGCGATTTCTACGGACTAAACGATCCTATTTACATCCAATATTCAAAATGGATAACGCGTATCCTGCAAGGCAATCTCGGCTTTTCTTTCGAGTTCAATGCTCCGGTTAGAACGGTGCTCGAAATGAACTTATTTAATACGTTGATCTTGGGTGCAGGCGCGATTGTGTTCATTTGGATCGTTGCAATACCTATCGGCATATTCTCGGCGGTGAAGCAGTACTCAATCGGAGACTACATCGCTACGTTTTTCGGATTTTTGGGGATCGGTATTCCGGATTTTCTGATAGGGCTCGTCGCACTGTGGTTGATCTTCGATTTGACCGGATTTCTTGCAGTGGGTTTGAATGACATCGAATATACGACTGCCGCTTGGTCGTTCGCCAAGGTTTGGGATCTGGTGAAACATTTGATATTACCTGTGACTATCCTAGGCACAGCTGGAACGGCGACCTTAGTCACGGATCATGCGTGCCAACCTTCTCGACGAGTTGAAGAAGCCCTATGTGACGACGGCGCGCGCAAAGGGTGTACCGAGTTTCAGTTGATCATGAAATACCCAGTGCGCTACGCGTTGAACCCTGGTGATTTCTCTGACCGCATACATTTTGCCGTTCATCATTTCCGGCAGCATCATCCTTTCATTCGTGCTTGATCTTCCGACCATCGGCAGGGACTTTCTACGTGCCCTGTTGGCGCAGGATATTTACCTCTCGGGTGCAGTCATCCTCTTTTCGGGATGGTTAACAATAGTCGGAACATTCTTTTCCGACCTGCTCCTCGCCTGGGTAGATCCGCGAATCCGATTGGAGGACGATTAGAGCCATGGTTGCTGGATCACAAACCGGGCCGCAATCCGACGTCCAAGAACGCGTTGACTTAGACACTGAAGACGAAGTAGAGGTGATGTCGCAGCGCCAGTTGATCTGGCGACGCTTCAGAAGACACCGCCTCGCGATGGGTGCGACCATCATCGTAGCGCTTTTTTATGTGATCGTAGTGTTCGCCGATTTCCTGGCAACCAATGATCCAGAAGACATCGAAGCTGCACGTCAATACACTCCGCCGCAATGGTTGCGTCTATTCGATGGTTTCAAACCCGACCTGCACGTTTGCAGGCTTGTCGGTTCAAGAGACCAATTTTTGCGGAAAGTTTACGTGAAGGACTGCGACCAAAAGGTCGATGTCCAGATTTTCGGCAGGGGTTACGAATATTCGCTGTTCGGATTGAGGCTCGATCGTCACCTCTTCGGCGTCAACGATCCGGAGATAAGGGCGGAAGACACTCTGTTCATCTTGGGAACGGATGTTCAAGGCAGGGACCTCTTCTCGCGGTTGATGCGTGGCACTCGGCTTTCGCTGCTGATCGGTTTGACCGGCATCTTCATATCGCTAATTATGGGCACTATGTTGGGTGCCGTTTCCGGTTTCTACGGCGGATTCGTCGATAACTTGATCCAACGTAGCATCGAAATCATTCGATCGGATACCGACGATTCCACTTTATCTTGGGTTGGCTGCGGCCTTTCCCGCAGACTGGTCGGTGGAACGTAGATTCTTCGCCATCACGATTGTCGTTTCGCTTTTCGCTTGGACGGAGTTGGCTCGTGTTGTGCGCGGGCGCTATTTGGCGATGCGGCAGGAGGATTTCGTGACCGCAGCGATAGTCGCCGGCGCGAACCAAAGGCGAATCATATTCCGGCACATGCTACCATCGTTCTACAGCCACATCATCGCAGCCAGTACGCTCAACTTGGCGTTCATGGTGATCAGCGAAACCACACTGAGTTTCTTAGGCCTCGGAATCCTCCCACCCGCGATCTCCTATGGCACATTACTGTTTACAGCGCAAAACGTTCAAACCGTGGCGCTCGCTCCATGGTTGCTTATACCAGGCATCTTCGTAGTCGTTCTGGTGCTATCGCTCAACTTCATGGGTGACGGGATACGTGACGCGGCCGATCCATATGGAAGTTGACAACCACATTCGAAGCATGACGACCGAAACCACAGCCCCAACAACGGATAACGTACAGTCCAAAGCCACCGCCAAGGATGCGATCTTGTCGGTGCGCGGTCTCGAGACGCACTTCTTCACGGATGAAGGCGTCGTACGAGCGGTCGACGGCGTGGATTTCGACATTCAGCCTGGTTCGACTATGGGAATTGTCGGTGAAAGCGGTTGCGGAAAGAGCATCACGGCGAAGTCGATCCTCCAGATCGTGGAGGCACCAGGCCGGATCATCAACGGCGAGATCAATTACAACCCTCGACCGGCTGCAAATTCGACAACCGATATTTTGAGTTTAGGTTCGAACAGCGCCGAGATGCGCTCGATACGTGGCGGCGAGATCTCGATGATATTCCAAGAGCCGATGACGTCATTCAGCACCATGCACACTTTTGGGAATCAGATCGACGAAACATTGCGCCTCCACACCAACCTCTCGAAAGCAGAGCGGTTCGATCTCGCTGTGGACTGGCTCGCGCGGGTGGGCATCCCCAATCCGGTCCAGCGGATGCATGAGTATCCCTTCCGTTTCAGCGGCGGGCAGTTGCAACGCGCAATGATCGCTATGGCGATGTGCACAAATCCGCGGGTATTGATCGCGGACGAACCGACAACGGCGTTGGACGTAACGACTCAGGCTCAGATTCTCGACTTGCTGCAACGGATGCAGGAAGAGAACGACATGGCGATTCTCTTCATCACTCACGATCTCGGAGTCATCTCGGAGATCGCCGACGATGTCACCGTGATGTATCTCGGCAAGGTCGTCGAATCGGGACCGGTCTTCAGCTTCTTCGACGAACCGAAGCATCCTTATTCGAAGGCGTTGCTAACTTCAATTCCGAGCATGTTCACTTCGTCCCGCGAGCGTCTCCCATCAATCTCCGGTTCTATACCGCACCCTCAGGACCGACCGATCGGATGCCCTTTCCACCCTCGTTGCCAGTCATTTATGGAAGGCACTTGCGACGCGAACGAGCCAAAACTGATCAGCGTCAACGAGGAACAGGAAGTCAGTTGCTTCTTGTATGAGGGATCGTAGATGTCGGTTGAAACAACAAGCAACGGCAACGGTCCCGCACCACTCCTCGACGTACGCGGCCTCGTCAAGCATTTCCCTATCAGGCGTGGATTTTTGCGCAGGACGGTTGGCACCGTCAAAGCGGTCGACGGCATCAGTTTCGACATCCGGGAAGGCGAAACGCTGAGTTTGGTGGGTGAAAGTGGCTGTGGAAAGAGTACGACGGCGCGATCCATCATTCGCGCGTACGAGCCGACCGGCGGCGAAATTTTATTTAAGACTGAAGACGGCGATTTCATTGACTTGGCTCAACTGTCGTTGACGGAACTGCGCCCGATGCGTCGTCAGCTGCAGATGATCTTTCAAGATCCATTCTCGTCATTGAATCCGCGGATGAACATCTACGAGATCATCAGCGAGCCGTTGCTGGTTCACGGCATCGGGTCGAGTAGCGAGCGCGAAGATCGCGTGGCCGAGTTGCTGCGTGTGGTTCGGCTCCGTCCCGAATACATGCGAAGGTATCCACACGCTTTCAGCGGCGGTCAACGTCAGCGCATCGGTATCGCCCGCGCACTTGCAGTGAACCCGCGGCTCATCCTTGCCGATGAACCGGTGTCAGGTCTTGACGTATCAGTCCAAGCCCAGGTTATCAACCTGATGATGGACCTCCAAGACGAACTGGGATTGACCTACCTGTTCGTCTCTCACGATCTAAGCGTCGTGAAGCAGATATCGAACCGAGTCGTCGTGATGTACGTCGGTCGGATCGCTGAGATCGGCACGCCTGAAGAGTTGTTTGGTGCGCCAAAGCACCCCTACACCGCGGCGTTGATGAGTTCGGTGCCGAAGCCGCACCCGAGCCAGCGTAGCAAGAGATATGTGCTTGAAGGCGAAGTCGCTAAATCCGGCTAATCCGCCGACCGGCTGCTACTTCCATCCCCGATGTCCGTTCGCAACGGATCAATGTAAAGTTGAAGTACCACCGCTAGTCAAATCAAAAGATGGTCGTTACGTCAGTTGCCATCGCGCCGACGAGATCGAATTGACGACCAACTGAAACTAGCACCGACAGCTTTAATCAGATCTAGCACGCTATAGCAACCATCGACATTGGTCGTTTATCGAGGCTCGAGGTTATGCAGCCCGACCCGACCCGACGACGACGTATAACCGCAGCCATCTCCGTGCTCGGCGTCTTGCTATCGATCGCAGCGTTTCACGTCGCAGTGCTGGGTCGGTTCGAGTATTTCGAGGATGCCGTTCGAGTGGAGGGTTGGGGTGCTGTTTTCTTTTCGATCGGCGCGGCCGTTTCAGCATTGATCGTAGTGCCGATCGCGGTTTTTCACGTTCGAGATATGGCCCAAATACCGGCTAGACCGATCACTTGGCTATTTATGGGGTTCGGTTTTGGGGTCGTCACTCCCATATTGACGGGCGGACTAACCCGGACCGCCGGCGCGTTCGCGGGACTTGCTGAGGGCGTATACGGCGTGGGGTCTATGCCTTCACTATTGTTGGACGCCGTGATCGTATTCCCGTACGACATGTTTATCCAAGGCGCTCCGAACGTCTATGCAGGACTCTTGTCGGGCGGGTTTTTCGCGATCATCGGGTTCGTAGTCGACCGTTTGAACTCGATGAAGACAGAAGCCGTCTCGATGTGGGGCCCTTGGATACTCGCCTTTGGCCTAGGTCTACCGATAATGGTGTTCGCGTTAGTCGGGCCGACCGAATTACTACGCGACATCGTCCGATAGCGACAATGACTGCTCAGACGCTGGACTTGAAGACGTCCGAGATGCTCTGCACGTTGCCGAGAGAAGAGTCGCGGTGCAGGTAACACAGAGCTGCTTGCGTATCTCCGATCCGATATAGCGGAGGCATTTCTTCCGTGCACTCGGCCATGGCGTACGGGCATCTCGGTGCGAACCGGCATCCGACCTCTGTCGACGCGCCGCCGGTTTCTTGAGAAGCCATGTCACTGCCCCAACGCTCGCTGGGGTCGGGACGAGGGATAGATTCAACTAAGAGCTGCGTGTAAGGGTGCTGAGGAGCCTGAATCACGTCCTCGACGCGTCCGGTCTCAACCACGGACCCTTGGTACATCACGATGATGTTGTCGCTGATTTGGAATGCTGTCGTCAAGTCGTGCGTGATGTATATCACCGCGATCCCGAGTTCTTTGTTGAGCAAGTCGATGCTACCCAAAATCGTGGCTCTCAACGACGCGTCGACCATCGACACTGGCTCGTCGGCGACGATAACACGTGGCTTAAGCAGCAACGCGCGGGCGACCATGATGCGTTGGCGTTGACCACCGCTCAATTGGTGCGGAAAGCGCCCTAGTGTCTCTTGGTGGCGCAGGCCGACGGTTTCGAGAGATTCGACGACGAGATCGCGCGCCTCGCTCTTCGAACGTGCCAATCCGAAGTTGGTCACGGGCGCCATCATGACGTGATCGACTTTGTAGAAGGGATTGTAGACCTCAAACGGGTCTTGCATAATTGGTTGGACCTCACGGCGGAATTCCCGCTTATCTGATCGGCCCAACGAAGCAATGTCATGTCCGTTGAAGTAGATTGCACCTTCGGTTGGCGGGATGATGCCGAGCATTAAGCGAGCGAGGGTAGTTTTTCCACTGCCGCTCTCGCCAGCCACGGCGATGATGCCGGGGTTCTCTCGAGGGATGCCCAAGCTGACGTCGTCGACCGCGACCGTGATGTTGCGGCGAAGCAGTCCGCCCCCGAAGACTTTGGATACGTTCTTGAGTTCAAGGACGTTGTCAGTGTCGTCCGTCGGAGCCAGTGCGGTCATCGAAGCATTTTGAGTAACCAACTAAACGCCCCCTTCGTACATGTGGCAAGCCACCCACCGGCGCGGCTCAATCTCGTTCAAGGGCGGGTCTACCGCGGTGCACAAGTCGGTGTTTAAACGGCCTCTGACTTCCGTAAACTCGCCTCTGAAGTCCTCGTCGTTGTTGTAATATGGGGCATCGCGGGTGGAATCTGCAACCTGACGGCGGAACTACCAATGTCGGCGGCAATCCTTCGATTCCCGTAAATTTGCCTTTTACCTGAATGTCGGGCAGACTGCTGATCAGTTTCTTCGTGTACGGGTGCTTCGGATCTTGGAAAATCTCTGCGATCGGCGCAAATTCAACGAGGTGGCCCGCATACATGACGCCAAGGACATCGGCGAACTGCGCCATCAATCCCATGTCGTGACCGACCAAAAGCACAGAGGCTTCCATTTCTTGCTGCAGCTGATCCAGCGTGAGCATGATCTGGCGTTGAACGACCACGTCTAACGCGCTGGTCGGTTCGTCGGCCAATATCATCTTCGGCCGTAACGACGTGGCGATGGCCAGAGCGACACGCTGTTTCATCCCTCCGCTAAGTTCGTGCGGGTACATATCCGCGACGGATGCGTCCAAACCAACGCTATTCAGCAACTCAACGACTCGTTCGCGGACCGCACCTTTGTTGAGCATCTCTCCTTTTGACGTGTGATGCTTGATGCCGTCGACGATCTGGTCACGCACTCGGTATACCGGGTTGAGCGAGTTCATGGCGCCTTGAGGCACCAGCGCGATATCTCTCAACCGGGTTTGCCGCATCTCCTCGTCGCTCAACTCCAAGATGCTGACGCCGTCAAGCCTTACTGTTCCGCCGGCGATTATTGCCGGTGGCTTGTGGAGCCGCATCAAGGCCATGGCCATCGTCGTTTTGCCGGAACCAGACTCACCTACCAAACCCATCCGCTCACCGCGCTTCAAGGTGAATGAGACGTCATCAACCGCCTTGACCTGGCCGGCATCCGTGTCGTAATAGACCTTCAGGTTCTCGACCTCGAGGACGTTTTCGGCGTAGTTGTCGATGTTCACGCCGGCAGGCGCTTTTTCAGCTGTAGTCATCTAGATACCTACATTCAATCGTTCGGTCGAACCGGCGGCACAGACGGCTTCAAACGCGGCGTCGGAGGCGCGGATTGGCGACCTCGTCGAGGCCGGCCGACATGAGGAACAACCCTACGAAGAGGATGACGATGATCACGATCGGCGGTATCAACCACCACCACAATCCCTTCAACAATGACGATGTGTATATGTTCCAGTAAATGGTCATGCCAAGGGTCGGTGAGTCAAGCGGCCCAACCCAAGGGCTTCGAGGCCAACTGACGCCAGTATGGCTCCTGCTACTGATGCGACGAAACTTGCCAAAACGTATGGCGATAGGTTCGGCATCATTTCTTTGAACACGATTCCGAATGTGCTCGTACCTGACATTCGCGCCATCTCAACGTATCCTCGTTCGCGCATCACCAACACCTGCGAACGAATCGCCCTTGCGGGCCCCGGCCATGCCAGGATCGATATGACGAACGCCATCTGATAGACGGTTAACCCCTTCCCTGGATTCAATGAGGTGGCGACCAGCACCAATATCAATAGGCCCGGGATTGGTATCAGACTGTCGACGATCACTCTAATCACTCCGTCGACCCAACCGCCCATGTAGGCGGCCATGAATGCGAGGATCATGCCCACACCAACACCGATTGCGGCCGCAATCAATCCGATCTGCAACGTCAAAGGGGTACCGACAATCATGACTGCCAAGATGTCCCGGCCTTGTTCGTCCGTCCCTAGCGGGTGGATACCAAACGGGTTCCAGCTTGGCTTCTCCCTTGCGTCCACTGACAATGCTCTGGTCAAACCGTTGACGCCTTGGGGTTCCCCTAATAGGTCATCTTGCTGGTAAAACAAGTATCCCAAGACCACGACGGCAAATAAGCCTATCAGCAACCCCAAACCGCCGATCAACAGTGGGTTCCGACGCAGATACCGTAACAAAGGCCGGATCCGATCCCGATAAAAACTGGCGGAATCGAAACTGGCCGTCGATTGCGGGATATCAGTTACTACGGTGGGTGGTTGCATCTTCAGTTACCGTTCAACCTTGCGAGTACTTAATGCGAGCATCCACCAGCGGATAGACCAAGTCCAATATCAGAGTCGCCAACGCTGTTCCCAACGCCAGAACGAACACGATTCCTTGGATCACGGCATGGTCGCTTCGCGGGATCGCTTGGACCAGCAAACCACCAACTCCAGGGTACGAGAACACAACTTCTACAAGCACCAATCCGGACACGATCAATCCCAACTGCAACGCCAAACCTGTAAGTTGCGGCAACATCGCGTTGCGGATGCCGTAGCGGAAGAACATTACCCGGTCTGGCAACCCCTTCGCCTCTGCCTGCACCATGTAGTCCTCACCCTTTGTTGTAACCATCATGCCGCGCATGCCCATCGCCCAACCACCTAGCGAGACCAATACAATCGATAGCGCCGGCAATGTTGCATGCCACAGCACGTTACCGATGAAACTCCAGTTCGACCAGTCAGGCCAACCCGCGATTCCCCTCGAGTATCCGCCGAAGAGCGGGAAGATGCTCCAGACGAAGGAAAACGCTAGTAAAAGAACTAGGCCAAACAGGTAATACGGTACCGCCGATAGCGTCAAAATCGGAGACATTATCGCCATCAAGTATGTTTTCTGGCGCCTCCATTCGAGGACTGCCCCCATTAGCGTGCCAGCCGCAAATGCGAAGATCAACGTTAACAGCCCAAGGGCGAGGGTCCATAGAATCGTCTCAGCCAAAAGTTGGTTGACGGTTTTGGGCCAATTGAATATCGAACGTCCAAGATCGAACTGAACGATGTTGACCATGAATTTCACATATTGTTCCCACAGAGGTTTGTTAAATCCATATTTTTCGTCGAACGCGGCAACCATCGCTTCGGTATCTTCCAAGAAACCTCCGCGGGCTGCCTCTTCGAGCAATTTTTCTTCGAGGGGGTTCTGACCTGAAATCCGGGGCAAAAAGAACACGATTGTGCTCGCGATGTAAATCGTTACGAAGAACATCGCCAATCGGCTAACTATGTAGTTCCAAGGCATCTTTGCGCGTTAAGTCAGGGAGTGTTTTTCGTACGCGGTGGCGGTTCGAACCCCGCGTTAGCGAGGTTCGAACCGCCAGCCAAATCATTTGTGGCCTTTGTCTGCTCCGTGGTACTGACCGCTCGAAGGTTGTTCAGGATCAACTGGAAGGTCAAGTGCCAGAACGCGCCGTTGGCGTACGGGTTGTCGTGGGTCGGCCAGTTGGCCCAGTACGTGGCAATCTGAGTTCATCGGATACGGTGGGTCCCCACCATTCCCCTCGATGTACCGGACGTCGTCGGGGTAGCTCGTCGAGCCAGATGTCCATGGCTTCCGTCCAAAGCTCCTCTAGCCGGGCGACGTCATCGATGCCGGTCGCGGAGACCTCGTCGGTTAGTTCGTTCCAGCGAGGGTGGGACCAGAAGTAGATGTTTGACTGGTGACCCTCACCCGCCTCTTCAGCGTCGGTTCCGTAGTAGAGGTTCATGGTGAAGTACGGGTCGCGCACGGATCAACCGTGTCCTCGCAGTCCGCAAGACGCATCGCCAGAGTTCTGGCGAGAACCGGCATCCGGCGGGTTGCTGTAAGACGACTTGATGCCGTGGTTATCCAGCTGCCGGGCAAGGATCGGACCGAAATCGTTGAAGATGCCGAAACCGAGGATGTCACAGACGACTACGTTGCCGTCTTTCTCCCAGTAACCATCGGCGTTCTTCGAGTATCCAGCCGTCGTCATCGGAGATCACCCTTTTCAGGGCTGTACTCGCCGGTGTTGTACTCGCCACTAAGCTTGTCCTCGATTGCGTCGTAGTACGCTGAGCATGGAGGCGCGTAAGTCAGCGCTAGATCTCTCGGCCAACTGGCAGACTCGAGGTGTACCGGCACCGTCGTAAGCAACGTCGATCAGCTGATCGCGGTCGATGTAGTAGGACACGGCCCATTCGACGATTCTTGTCGTTGTACGGCGGCATGCTGTCGTTGAACAACAGGCTGATGGGCCACCAGTCAACGTAACCGTACGGCGGGTTGAAGCCGGAGTGGGTTACCACGTTCGGGTTTCGAGCCAGCACCTCACGGATGGTCGTGGGGCGAAGGTCCAACGTCGCGTCCGCGGAGTTGTTGATGACCGCCTTGTGCCATCTGCGTCTCGCCCGGGTTCGGGACGTAAACGATTTGTTCGACATCAGGAGACTCTCAACAAGACCCTGATCGACTGCCCACCACGAGTCGCGGCGGTTGATGATCTTCTGCTCGGGCGAAGTCTGCGCGACGTGCCACGGGCCCGTCGTAACCGGCCAACCTTGGTCGAGGTCGAAGTTGGTGAACTCCAACCAGTCCTGACCGTCGAAGACGTGCTTCGGAACGATTTGTCACAACGATGGCGAACTTGTGTAGGTCATGAAGTAGAAGAACTTCGGACGCGGGCCTAGGAAATTAACGACAACCGTATGGGAATCAACTTCCTCGATGGACTCGATGTCACGCTGAACCTGGGAACTTCGGCGGAGGCCGGAGTTGTCCTTCAGGTAGTTGAGGGTGTAGGCAACGTCGTGCGAGCCGAACGGCTCGCCATCACTCCAGGTGATGCCTTCCCGCAAGTTGATGGTCAACTGCGTGAAGTCAGCGGTGTATTCCCAAGACTCGGCGAGCCAGGGGTATTCCTGGTCGTTGAACGCTGAGTAGAAACGCCAACGGCTCGTGCAAGATGCCGGAACCGTTCTGGTGGCTTGTGCCAGGATTGTAAGGGCTCCAGATGTCGTGGTCGGTGTAGCGACCTGCTGCACCAACTCCACCGGCTCCGCCCCACAGAAGGATCAATTGGCGGTCTCTCGGGATCTCGTCGCTCATCATCATCGAGTCGTCCATGGCTGCCGCGGTCACTTCGACCTCGACGACCCGTTCGACTTCAACGACTCTTCAACTCCGACGACCGCGTCGTTCGACCTCACGGTCTCGACGCGCGCGTCCGGGCTGCGTGATCACCGCGACTCTACAACAACGGTCTGACGACGGTTTCGTGCGCAGCACAGGCGACGACGGTTGCGACCATTGCCGAAAGTGCGACGACCAAAATCGCCAACTTATATCTCATCGGTTGGATCCTCCCTTTTCGGGTACATGAATTTGCCGCGTAAGAGCGGCCAAAGTCTGCACGAAAATCTAACATTCCGCTCGATTGAGTCAAACTGAACCTACGTTTGAACCGACGACCACAATGCAGTCCGGATTTCGACGCCATTTAGTGGAATCCAACTGCCGACGGGATCGTTACGCCTTGTTCACACCCGTCGTCGCAACCTCGGATTTGCGACTTCATCCAACCCAGCTGAAATCATGAACAATCCGACGAACAACGTAATCAACACAACGATGGGCGGCAACAACCAGTACCACAGGCCGAGCAACACCGAGCTATTGAAGATGTTCCAATAAATCATGCTGCCAAGCGTTGGCGAGTCTAGCGGGCCTAAACCTAGCGACTCCACTCCGATGGAAGCGAGGATGGAGCCGGAAACGGCCGCCACAAAGCTGGCGAGTGCGTACGGAGCCAGGTTGGGCATCATCTCTTTGAATATGATGCCAATCGCGCTGGTGCCGGACATCCTAGCCATCTCTACGTACCCGCGTTCGCGTATGACCAACACTGCGACCTGATGACGCGGGCGGGGCCGGGCCACGCCAACACGGCGATAACGAACGCAAGTTGATCGACGGATAACCCCTGTCCGGGATTAAGCGATGTCGCGACCAGAACGAGAACCAATAGGCCTGGAATCGGTATGAGGCTGTCGACGATGGTCCGGATTACCGCGTCGACCACTCCGCCCACGTACGCCGCGACGAAAGCCAGCACCATGCCGATGCCCACGCCGATCGCCGCCGCAATGACCCCGATTCTCAGCGACAACGGAATGCCGACCACCACCGCGGCGTAGATGTCACGCCCTTGAAGGTCGGTGCCCAACGGATA